AGGGAGGAACCTCTCCTCCTTGATTTTTTAGAATAGTTTTAGTAGAATTGGTACTAGTTCTTCTTTGTATGTCAGGTACATTTCGGCTGTGAATCCTGTTCCAGGGCCTTTTTTGGTAGGTAGCGGCTTTGTCTTTGTCTAGTCTCTGGGAAGATCTTGCCAGCTCATACATCTGTCAGGGTGTTGGGTCCACTGCAGCTAGAATCCCAGAGGTCTGTGGTGGGAGTAAGCTGTCCCCTAGTCCCTTCACTCACCCCTTCCCCAGGCACAGTTCTGGGCTAGGAACCAGTTACAGCATTCAGGCACCCCACGTGGAATTTCTAGCTCTCTCTCTCTTCAGCTTCAGCAACTGAATCTTTTCTCTATCAACATTGAATATTTTCTCTCCAAAGATTTGTTCAAATTATGTTGGTGTAGTCAAAACTGTGGTCTCTCTCTGTGGGAATGGCACTTCCTGGCTGCATTTAATCAGTCACTTTCTCTTCTAATATTTACTTTATTGAGAGTGTTTTATCATGAAAGGATGTTAAGTTTTGTGAGAAGCCTTTTCTGTATCCATCAAGATGATCATTTTTGGAAAAGCTAAAGACAAAATTGAATCAACAAACCTAGACTAACCAATTTAAAAAAATTAAAATAAGCAAAATCAGAAATGAAACAGGAGACATTATATCTGACACCACAGAAGTACGAAAAGGAACATAAGAGATTATTATTACACACCAACAAATTGAATAACTAAAACAAATAAATGCATTTCTGGAAACATCCAATCTATCAAGACTGAATCAGGAAGAGGTAGAAAATATGAACTAAACAGTAACAAGTGAGGAGATCAAATCAGTAATTTAAAAGTATGTCTGCAGAAAAAGCCCAAGACCTGATGGTTTCACTGCTGAAAAAACATTTAAAGAACTAATAGCAATCCTTCTCAATTTCTTCCCAAAAACTGAAGAGGAGGAAACACTTTCAACTTGTTTTATGAGGTTGGCATTTGCCCTAGTACCAAAGCCAGGCAAGAACAATGGAAGAAAAGAAAACTATGGACCAGTATTCCTGATGAACACAGATGCAAAAATCCTCAACCAAATACTAGCAAACTTAATTCAACAGAAAAGATCATTCAGTATGGTCAAGTGGGATTTACTCCAGGGATGCAAGAATGGTTCAACATACAAGAATCGATAAATGTGATATATCATATTAACCAAATGAGGAACAAAATCCATATAATTACTATAGTTTTTTTAAAAATTCTTAACATCTAGGAGAGTAAGTCCTCTTATATTTTGGCCATTTGCAAGTCAATTTAAGTTTAGAATCAGCCTGTTAATTTTCATACACAAAAATCTATTGAGTTTCTTTGACAGAATCATACACTGTAGATTCTATTTGCAGGGAATGAACATGTTTATAATATTGAATTTTTCTTTACATAAATGTATAACCATTCTCTGTGTACTTACTTTTTATTTATTTATATAAATAATAGCTGTATATGTACAGATTACATATAGTCATATAAATAGGTACTAGTATTTTGATGATATTTTAATTTCATTTTTACATTGTTTGTTGCTACAGAAACAAAATACATGTTTATATTTTGCCCTTATGTGCACCAACTTTAAAAAATACTTTTATTGATAGTTTTTCGTTAGTATTCGCACACCTACTTTATCATTATCTATTAATGATAGTAATTGCCCTTTTAATTTTCTGATCTCTATCCCTTTTATTTTTCCAATTTCTATTAAAGAACTATGTAGTATCTTGATTAAAAAGTTAAATAGAAATGATGACATAAGGCATCCTTTTCTATATTCTAATTTTAAAGTAAAACCTTTCAATATTTTCAAATTACATATGATGTTTACTGTTGTTTTGTATATATTATTTGCCAGATTGAAAATATGTATTTTTAAGCATGAATGAACGTTAGTTTAAAACATTATTCTGTATTGGTTTATATGTAATTTTTCTCATCTATGCTGTCTCTGACTTATGTCTGTCTTTGGACCTTCTTGCCCTGAGGTGTATTCCTCAAGCCTCCCCTTCTTTACTCTCCATTATAAAATGTCTGACTCCCATTTCTTATGCTCTGTGCTCTTCAACACCTGGATGTCAGCTCGGTTCAGCCAAAAAGTGGAAAAGCTGGAGATGAAAGCTCAGGAGACTAGAAGTGCCCAAAGTTTTTTACCTTCTTTCTCTCTGCAGCAGGTGGCTTCTTCAATGGATACATCTTCTCCATGGCTATAATTTCCTTCATTATTTGTCAGCCATGATTTCCGATCCTGTTGACCACAACTCCTACATTTCAGTAATAATGTATTTTCTCTTTCTTCCTCCAGCTTAGAGGTCGGAGTGCCTTCCTTGAGTTGATAGGTATTATTTGTTCCACTGTTATTGGCTGACTTCTCCAGGAACCTATTTCCTGCATTTAGAGTGATTCCTGTTTCCTGGATAATCGTTGACTGTTAGAGTTGGCCAATTATATTGATTAATTTCTTCATAAGAAACCATCATTTCACTTCTAGAAAAAAACACTGTTACATGTAAATGTGTATGTGTGCATGCATGTATGTACATGTTTGTGTTCAAATTCTGTTATATAAATATGTATTTTATATATAAATGTAAAGTGTATAATATACATACATATTTTATATATATTCAAAAGTTCTAAGAGCATAATGGAGAGATTTATTGAACTTTTACAATCTTTGAACACTACACATAAAGTGCCATAGTACTACTATGGGAAAAAGTCCAAATGGTACTGAAAAGAATATTATAACTTTAAATATATTTATCAAAAAAGTAAAACCTACAAATGATTCAAAGGCTACAGAAACAATGGCATAATATGCCCAAATAAGTAAAAGGTAGAAAATAATGATGATAAATGCAGAAATGATGAATTAAGAAACAGTACAGTCAACTAATGAAAGCCAGTTTATTCAAAAGATTTATATAACAGTTTATATAGTATGACATTTCAATAACATTTATTAGATTTATATAAAAAACTTTAAGTGTTATCTATTATGAAAAAAATGGAAATAAGTGATATTAGTTAAATAAAACTAGAAAATTTATGTACAGAAGAGTTTTAAAGATTATAAGAGAACACAATAAATACATTTACCATTACATCAGGAGAACAAATAGCAGACAAGAAAAAGGTTCTAAGTATAGAACTATTTTAGACAGAATAACCATTCTGCAGCCCCTAATGGATTAGTTGATAAAGTGGTAATCCTCAATGACCGCCAACATGACCACAAAGGTGATAACAGACATTGTGTATCTCTTAATTGAAGTACACAATGTTGCCTTTAGAGTGGTCTTGCCAACAAACCAACAAATAAATAAACCTTTATCCAATCAATCTTCTTACTATAACTATTGATCATTGTTGTTGCTGAGTACTAGAAGGGGTCCCATGAAGCCCCACCCCTACTGTCAGTCTTGGAGGGTCCCTGCATGGCTTCCGGGCTCAGGCTCCACCTTACTTCCTATTCTGGACTCTCAGGGAATGAGATCTTTGATCTCCTGTTGACTGATTAAGCTCAGTAGACAGAGAAGTCCAAGGGTCCACTAATAGCCCCAGAAAGAATTTTATGTGAATTTTCCGGGAGTCACCCCACCCACAGAACACACGGAGAGTGGCAGAGCCCCGCCCCTGCTGTTATGCTGGGAAGGTCAGGGGGGCATGGCCGGAAGTGGTTCCCCAACTTCCGCCTAAAAAGGCTGTTGCGCCAGAGCCTCAGTCTGAAAAGCGCTGTGTCAGGTCTGCAGAAAGAGGCATCCTAGATCTCAGTTGTCTAGTGAGTATCCTGACCTAGAACTGGGGGACATTGCCCAACAACCGTAAATCCCTTCTCCCTAAAAAAAGGCGGCTCTAGAGAGCCCTGTCCCATCTTGCCCCTGAGCCGGTCCCTGAGGAGTCTGCATGCATGGCCGCTAGGCCCAAAGTGCATTCACTTTTTCCGTCGGGTTGAACAGCATGAAGGCCTCGGTCCAAGGCTGGTGGACTCAGGTCAGGAGGGAGAGAAATCTCAGGCATTCCATAGTTAAAAGAGAATCCTCCTTAAGATTGAGGGGACTCCATGCCCCAGAACGGAGTGACACTGAACTCTGCTGCTGACGTCAGTCTGGGGTCCCGGCAGGTCTCTAGAGACTGAAGTGCATTCTCACTTTGTTCCCGTGGGCGTTAGAGAAGTAGGGCCCTGGTTATAAGGAGACGGCAGCAGGTCAGCGAGGGCAATTTCCAGATTGTGGGAAGAGTCGGAGTGAGGAGTCTGATTACCGTGGGGACAATTCTCACTAAAACAGCAAGAGCACTCAAATCTCTTCAGTACTGTCAGCCCTAGGTGGTCTGAGTGACCCCAGAGTGAAGTGTTGGGCAGAAGTGCTTCTTTATTTCCTCCTCGTTAGTATTGTAAAAATTCCTAGTGTCAATTTTAGAGCTGCAGAGGAGAATGGGTCTCTGGGTCTTATCAATTTTTACGATGATCCTGAATACAAATATAGAGGATCAGGCCCTGAACAGAGGGGCCCCCATTGCCAGCCCCTGCTGTCACCTCAGTAAGCCCCAAAATAGGCTGTCATGCTATAGTCTAATACTCACTCTAACTTCCTCCTGAGTTCGAACTAGACAAAGTGACCAGGAGAACAGGAGTCCTGTGATTTCCTAGGGCAGTTCTTTCACAGAAACCTGCAGAAGGGGCCCTGGTTAAAGTCAAGATGGTTGCTCTCTGGTGAAGGTGTTGATGTGATGTCACTCTCTCCCGTCCAGGTGCCAACCTTTTCAGCCTTCTCACTCACACTCCTACCTGCTGTCACCAGCCATAGCCATCATGCCTCGGGGTCAGAAGAGTAAGCTCCGTGCCCGTGAGAAACGCCGAGACACCCATGGTCAGCCGCAGAGTCTCCCGGGTCCTCAGACCACTGTAGAGAAGCAAAAAGAGCCCCCCACTTCCACTATCTCTTCTGATTATCGGGGTGCTCATCCTAAGTCTTCTGATGCCTCCGTTCCTCAGGAGTCTCAGGGAGCTTCACCCACTGGCTCTCCTGATGCAGGTGTTTCATGCTCAAAATCTGATGTGGCTGCCAAGGGTCAAGATGACAAAAGTGCAGGCACCTCCCCTGATGCCTCCGTTCCTCAGGAGTCTCAGGGAACTTCACCCACTGAATCTCCTGATGCAGATGCTTCATGCTCAAAATCTGATGTGGCTGCCAAGGGTCAAGATGACAAAAGTGCAGGCACCTCCCCTGATGCTTCCGTTCCTCAGGAGTCTCCCCCTGATGCCTCCGTTCCTCAGGAGTCTCAGGGAGCTTCACCCACTGAATCTCCTGATGCAGGTGCTTCATGCTCAAAATCTGATGTGGCTGCTAAGGGTGAAGATGAGGAGAGTGCACACGCCTCCCAGAGAGCCATGTACTTCAAGAGCTTAGGCCGAGATCCTATAAACAAGAAGTCGTGGGAGTTGGTGCAATTCCTGCAGGAGAAGTTTGAGAAGAATGAGTCCATTTTGAAGGCAGACATGCTGAAGCTTGTCAGCAAAAGGTACAAGGAGTACTTCCCTGAGATCCTCAAGCAAACCTCCGAACATCTGGTGGTGACCTTTGGTGTTGAATTGAAAGAAATGGATTCCAGTGGTGAATCCTACACCCTTGTCAGCAAGCTGGGCCTCTCCAGTGAAGGAAGTCTGAGTGGTTATAATGGGCTGGCGAAGTCAGGTATCCTGATGTCGGCCCTGGGTTTGATCTTCATGAAAGGCAACCGTGCCACTGAAGAGGAGGTCTGGGACTTTCTGACCTTCCTGGGGATCTCCTCTAGGATGACACATCCACTCTATGGGGATCCTGAGAAGGTCCTTACTGAAGATTTGGTGCAAGCAAAGTACCTGGAGTACCGGCAGGTGTGCAACAGTGATCCTCCACGTTATGAATTCCTGTGGGGTCCACGAGCCCACTTTGAAACCAGCAAGATGAGAGTCCTGGATGTTTTCGCCAAGATCAATAACACCGTCCCCGGGTTCTACCCACATCTGTATGAAGAGGCTTTGGTAGATGAGGTACAGAAAGCATTGAGAGTGAACTTTTAAGGCAGGGCTGGTACGGTTTCCTTGGCCANACCGCCTCTCTTGATGCAGGTGCTTCATGCTCAAAATCTGATGTGGCTGCCAAGGGTCAAGATGAGAAAAATGCAAGCACCTCCCCTGATGCCTCTGTTCCTCAGGGGTCTCAGGGAGTTTCATCCACTGCCTCTCTTGATGCAGGCATTTCATGCTCAAAATCTGATATGGCTGGCTTGAATCAAGATGGGGAAAGTGCAATCACCTCCCAGAGAGCTGCCTTCTTTAAGACCACAGATCGAGATCCTCTAAACAGGAAGGCGAGTGCGTTGGTGCATTTCCTACAGGAGAAGTTTGAGAAGAAAGAGATCATTTTGAAGGCAGACATGTTGAAGCGTATTAGCAGAAAGTACAAGGAATACTTGCCTGAGATCCTCAAGAAAACCTCCAACCATTTGGCAGTGGTTTTTGGCGTTGAATTGAAAGAAATGGATTCCAGCGGTGAATCCTACACCCTTGTCAACAAGCTGGGCCTCTCCGGTGAAGGCATTCTGAGTGGTGTTAATGGGCTGGCGAAGTCGGGTATCCTGGTGTCTCTCCTGAGTTTCATTTTCATGAGAGGGAACCGTGCCACTGAAAAGGAGGTCTGGGACTTCCTGGGTGTTTTGGGGATCTATGACGGAATCACGCACTCAATCTATGGGGAGCCCCGGAAGATCATTACAGAAGATTTGGTGCAAGATAAGTACCTGGAGTACCGGCAGGTGTGCAACAGTGATCCTCCATGCTATGAGTTCCTGTGGGGTCCACGAGCCCATGCTGAAACCAGTAAGATGAGAGTCCTGAGAGCTTTGGCCAGTATCAATAACACTGCCCCCGGTTCCTACCCACATCTGTATGAAGAGGCTTTGGTAGATGAGGTACAGAAAGCATTGAGAGTGAACTTTTAAGGCAGGGCTGGTACGGTTTCCTTGGCCAGGGCACCTTACGGGGCCACATCCTACAGATCCTCCCATTTCTAGGGAGGTCTGAAGTAGAATTTTTTTTTGATGTTAGAGGAGAGTAATGAGCCTTCTAAGTAGTGCAGTATAGTAGAGGCTGGAGGGAACAGGACGTGTTTCTTTCTTTTGTCCTGTTACAGATGAGTAATTTGTAGATTTATGTTTTGCTTTCTTTGTCAATTTTCAAGATTGTTCCTGTTAAGTGAAGGTTTATTTTGCTTCATACTATAAATGTATCAGTAACATAGCTCTCACATTCATAGCTGTTTAACCAATTTGGAAGTTATGGTTTTGGTATTAATAAAACAAAATCATACACCATTCATATTTTCTTTATAATTCAAAACTAGATAACATGGTAATAGAGAAGGGATTTTGATATGAATCTTAAAGAACTCCACAGTAAACTAGTTGACACCATAATAGGATGAGAAAGCAAAGTAAAAACGGAAATGTAAAAGTTGCCTAATTCTTGGTTTGCCTTATTCCTTATTTCTTTTAATACAAATAAAGGATGCTTGGATTCATTTAGGTTATTACAGAGTGCTGTTAGTTTGTTTTGTTCTACTGCACTTCATATTCTGTCACTGACTGCATAAAAAAAACAAAAAAACTCTGATTGGAGAGTGGTATTTTCTGGGTTTAAAATAATCATATGAAATGCAGTGATCAATGTAAGCCAGAATGAGTACACTAAAATCCTTTTGAAACAAGGCCGCTAAGTTTAAAAACTCCATAGGCTTTTATTGTTTCAGACACTTTCAAGATGTGATAATTGTGTTTCTTAATATATCATTAGGAAAATTAAAAATTAATATTGTGTAAAAACACATATTATGGTAACTGCCATTTATTACTATTTCCTACTTAGTATGCCTTATTTTTTATTTTTATATTTTTATTTTACTTTAGGTGCATACTATATCTGGCATTTCTCCCCATGTTATCCCCCGCACC